GATACCAAAAAGTAAGTTCGATCCCAGTTCCGAGACTACAGCGCCTCCTCGACTACGTGTTTTCATTATCAACACAAATACGCACAGATTTCTTTCTATCGCAAACATCAGAAGCCTATGGTTTGATAAAAATACACACAAAATCTTGCTTTTACTTAAAATAAGGATAAATTAGAAAACCTCGTAAGCAAAATGAAGGAAGGTTTTAAATTTTTCTGGAAAATAATGAAAAACAAAAAAAATTTACCTCCAGATTTTGTTTTGCCAGATCTATTTTTCGACCATTCTATCCTAGTTTCTGTTTTCTTTTAGTTTTGGGTTTCTGAATCTATTCTATTCTGTTCTCCAAGTTTCTTGTTTTTTATGTTTTTATACGTATGGGTTTTGTCTTTGTTTGTGATTCATTTTTTTTCGATTTTTCTTCTGTATCTTTCTGCTATTTGTAGTTGCATTTCTTTGATTTGAGAAGGGTTTATTTGCCCTTTACTTTAAAAAAAAATAAATCCTGTGGTTCTGTATGAGATGGGGAGTACTGGAGAGCCCATTAACAAGGGCATTGATGCGTCGGTGGGTGGATTGGTTTGGGTCCGGAGGCGAAACGGGTCTTGGTGGCCGGGCCGGATTCTCAGCCCCGACGAGTTGCCGGAGAGCTCCCTGCTTTCGCCGAGATCAGGGACCCCTGTAAAGCTCCTTGGAAGAGAAGATGCAAGTGTGTAAGTGGCTCTCTCTCACTCTCTCTTTTTACCGTGAACTTTCATTGATTTTATAGTAGCAGCGACTGTGTTGTGAAGAAAATTATTTTTGTTGTTTTAAGAAATTCTTTGTCCAATTCTTGTTTTTTGGGGTTTTTGCAAGGGATTTATAAATTAATTGTAGAATTTTTTCTAGTTTTATCTTAACCATTTTTTACCTTGAAAGTTAGAATCATAATTAATTTGCTGCATAACCCTCTTGGTGTTGCGCAATGGTGAAATCTTTATCTTATTATTCGGGTAGCATGTTTGGCTAAGCTTAAGAAAAAAATATAAAAGTTTATTTTGGTTTGGAAATCTTATTGTTTTCTTACTTTTAAGTATAATGCGTCATGGTTCCCATTCAGTATTTGGGCATCTGAATCCCACGTCGGAAGTATGGGCTTCCTTTCTGTGGTTTATATAGGTTTGGGTTCTCTTTTCCCTTGTGAAATTAAGCAACTTGTCATCACTTTGAGCAATCAAAAAGCTTAGCCTAAACATGCTCATAGTCATGATGAAGCTTTTAGTTATGTTATGGAATTGCCCTTGATGGATTTTTCAACTATTGAATTAGTTGTTAAGAAAATGTGGACGCTTAGGATCGAGTTTTCCACTGGAAATATGACATTTCCATCATAAATTGAAAGGAGGATTATGTCTGTACCACATTTTTATGTTTCTTTTGAGAAATGGATTACATGAATGCTTGTGAAGCTCAGTTTCTTGGTAGTATTATTTGTTCTATTGCTATATCTATTTTGCTTAAAGTTTGACACGAGATATTGGCCTTACAAGGACAAGTTAATATGTTATATTGCATAACAATACCTTAAAATATGTTCCCTAGGAGTCAGTAATTACCTTTAGTTTTGTTTATTTATGGTTGGTGTTCCCGGATGCATTATTAGTTTAATTTCCCTTCCAATTTTTGTATATTTGGGGATTGGATCTGAGGATTTTGTTTCTTTTCTCAAATATTGACCTCTTTCTTTACTTTTAAGATTATCGATTTATCCTTCTTACAATATATTAAATTCGTTTCATTGCTTTTTACTGATAATAAAAGATTGGAAAATTCTTGCCAATCTGCTTTCAGGGATTGGTATAATCTTGAGAAGTCAAAACGAGTGAAAGCTTTTCGATGTGGTGAATATGATGAATGCATTGAAAAAGCTAAAGCTACTGCATCTAACTCCTCTAAGAAGGCAGTGAAATATGCTCGCAGAGAAGATGCCATTCTTCATGCGCTTGAGCTTGAAAGTGCTCGTCTTGGAAAAAACCATTCTGATTTCATGTCAGGAAGGGATCAACAAGGTGGGGAGGATCGTGTTGTTGATCAATCACCTACTTCATTCAATCCTAGCGAAGAAACGGATGTTATTGATGAAGATTTAAGTTGTTCTGGAGATGATTCAGATTCAGCACAGGAATTATCGCAGTCTGGGGTATCATTTGAAAACCTGAGCTATTTAGACGCAAATTAGGATCAATCTAGACGACGACGAACCCCAAATGATTCGGAGGATGATGGGACTGAAGGAATAAAGAGAATGAGAGGACTTGAGGATTTTGGAATGGGGGTCATGTCATCATTGAAGCGGAAGCGATCGCAGACGTCTCATGTTCACGAGTTCTTGAAAAAGAAAAATCGTCATCGTACTTTATCAAAGGTTTTGGAGAATACGACGATGGTGTCTGTTCCTATTGTGTCTGAACAACTTGCGAGTCCTACGGGATCGTCTCTTCCAGGAGCATCAGACGGTAAGGTTTCTGAATTGGAGTCAAATGAATCAAAGAAAAATAATTCAATGGCAATTAATAAAAACTCAGATAGCACTGGAGTTTCTTGTGAGAATGGGTCAATTAATCCATCCAGGCATGATAGTGATGGTTCCATGGTTAAATCCAAACAGAAGGAAAATGAATTTTCCAGTGAGCTGGGGTTGCCTGAAGGCGTTTTATCTGAAACACTGTTTGATGTTCCCCTTCTTGTGGAAGAAAAGCACCATGCAGGTATCATTGATTGAACCCTTGGGTGCTTATGTTTTAACTATTGTTTTTGTTATGTGTTTGTACAATTCTGCAGTGCGTACCTATCCGAATATGAAATTATATATTCGTTACGACTATCAATCGAACATTGAGGGAAGTTTTATTTGTTTGAGTTCACATCCAGGTATCCTGGCTGTAGTTGCTGATTATTAAAGTATGAAAATTATAAAAATATTGCCATTAGTGTTTGAAGGAATTAGTTTGTTACTACGGTCTACCAAAAGAGTAGGCATAGATATATGATGTGATGCATTATGTATTCCCTTTTTTTTGAGTTACCGTTTTGTCATTTCAGACTGTTTATAGTCATTGCACGCAGCTTAATATTATTATAAATTTCTGCTCTCTTTTTTCCCTGGGAATTTTTACTAATACATAAAGGTTATGACATTCTTCTTCAAGAGTTGTTTCATTGGCCCAATCTACCTCAATAGATTTCTTCTTGTGATTATTCACTTGGCTTATGATTCCAATGCTAATATGTAATTTTCTTCCAACAGGCTTATCCTTGAGCATTTCCTGTGCATCTCAAAAGGCATTGATGGGTGCTGGAGCACAACCTAGCCAAAGCAGTCTTGTCGAAACTTTATCTCTTGGGAACGAAGAGCTTAATGAGTCTGCCTCTACCTCGTCAGGTACTGCTGATATTCATATAAGCCAGAGGACTGATCAAGGTTCTTCGGAGTGGCAGTTGAAAGGGAAGAGGAACGCTAGGTCGAGAAAAGTGGATGTGAACTACGGATCTGCGACATGTGTCGCAGGTCAGAATGTTGATTTAAACTGTGTTGGAGTATCCCTCCCGTCAGCTGACTGTGGTTATAGTTTAAAGTCGAGACCTATTGCAGAAATTCAGGTTGATGAGTTCCCTGGTTGGAGCAGGAATGTTCCTCACACGCCATCTGAACTGTCTGTTCCTTTGAGGGTACTCCCATGTCGGCAGTCTCGTTTTACAGTTAACCCGAAGTACGATTCATCAGAATTTTCTCTAAGACACCATAATGCGGGTTCAGTCTTGTACGATGTTACATTGGCGGTGAATGCTAGCTATCGTCCTCAGCATGTTCCGTATATCTCTCTCATGAGCAAGTTAAATGGTCGACCCATCATCGGCCATCCACTTACGATCGAGGTTTTAGATGATGGCTTTTGTGATCATCTGATTAGTGGGTCTGAGTGCTATAGCAGCAGTTCAGAGTTGAACGGTGATCAGGGTGCAACAAGATCGAGTTCAGGCGGGAGGGTTTCAACCAAGCACCTTGCATTGCAGCCAAGCATCTCACCCAAAACGCGAAAATCAAAGAGGAATGGACTCCTGTCGAAAAAGATTAAGAAGTTATCTTCACTAACATGTTCCCGAAAACAAAGTGAAGTTGAAAAGAAACTGGTCGAAAAACCCCGTGGCCCAGCTGTAGCTTGTGTTCCCTTAAACGTCGTTTTCAGTAGGATAAATGCAGCCTTGGGACCAGCAACCCGTCTTGCTTCAACAAGCAAAATATGATGTTCGTTTTCAGGATCAAAGAGTTGTGCACTTGTGGTAAATTTATCTTTTATGTAGGCAGCCGGGTTTTTCAGCATTTTAGTTCGAGCTATGCTCCACTTACCGGCACTGTAAATTCTTGCTGAAGTTAGAAATCTTCTGTACAATAATTATTCTGTGATATTTCAATTTCATTATAGAATTGTAAGGGTTCTTGGAAAGTAGCTGCTTTGGTGATGTATATATTTGTATTGAGCATAAGCATCCATGAATTAAAGATGCTAGAGAGTAGAAACAATATGATTTTTGTAGTCTTAAGTCAAATACGTTTGATTTTTGTATTGAACGTGCTGGTGGTTTAGTTTGTGTATACTTTTAACTGAAGGTTAACGAGGGCAACACACAGCCAATCTATCTCCTTGCGAGGTTATGTACTAGACAAGAAACAACCAGGATATTGGTTAAAAGATTGGGGACTTATAGTGTAATTTACTCCTTTTCTTTTGTTTAATCAAGTCAAGGATAAAATGATCATTTTATTCAAAATTTAACTTCTGAATGGTCGAAGATGTTTGAAAGATTTGAAATTTCGGATGTCAAAAGCCTCAACTTCCTTTTTGTCCATTTCGTATAGTTGAGCTTTTGTTAAGATTTTATCATAGCAATTTTTAAAGGTTCGAGACTCTATGATACTACTGAAATAATCTAATAGAATTTGGACAAAATCGTCTACACAACATTCCTTCTGTCATGTGATTTTTTATAGTTTAAAGATTAGAGGTAAAGGAAAATTTTTTATTAGTTTAACTGAAAGATGGATTTAAAAAATAATTGTTTGTTTGTAAATAAAACCTCTAAAAATGGTTTTTTATTTTTTATTTTTAAAGAAACTCTAAAAACACGGGCAATTTCGGTAATTGACATTTCATCACCTTCCTAATTGTTTGTATTTAAAACCTCTAAAAATGTTTTAAAAAAAAAAAATCTAAAAACATGGGCAATTTCGGTAAGTAACATTTCATCATCTTCCTAGGGTTTTAAAGCCCAACATACGTGCCCTGATATCCTCTAATTGCATTTCCTCCTCTCTTAAGCCGTCAGCACGAACCCTAAAAGCTCCGTTTTTTCTTCTCTTAGGTAAATATACTAATTTTGTGCGGAGAAAATGGCGACAGTGCCAGGACAGTTGATTTGGGAGATCGTAAAGAAAAACAACTCCTTTTTGGTGAAGGAGTTTGGAAATGGAACTGCAGGTGTTGTTTTCAGCAAGGAGCCAAACAATCTCTACAACCTTCACTCGTATAAGCACTCTGGTTAGTATCCTTGATTGCTTCTTATTATTCATTAATACCCTTTTACAGTTCTGAAATTGTGCTTTTTTGTTGAATAATTGGTTGAAATGGTGATTTTAGATCCGTGTGCAGTTTGTTTACTTCGCAAACGTGTTAAATTTT